TTTTTTATTATTTTCTTTTTTTTTTTTTTTTTTTTTGTTGTTCCATTAAATATATTTTCATTAATTTTTAACAATTTTTCTCATATATTAAAAAAATAATAATTAATAGAATTTTAAGAAATAGTGTACTTAATAATTTTGATTTAATTGAAATTCACGTTTTCATTTTCTTTTTCTCATTCTAAATTTTAGCTTAATTTAAATTACGAATAATTATATTTAGTTGTAATAATGGATATAAAAATATATTTTTTCTTAATTTTTACATATGAATTTTTGTTGGAAACTTTAAGTGCACTAAAATTAAATGAAGTAAAAAAGCATTTTAATGATAAATTAAAAAATAACAACAATAATAATGAAAAATTAGAAAAATATATTTTTTCGTATCCAAGTAAGGGAGTAAATCATGAAAATTTGAAAAATATTTTAGATAACATATTAGAATCCACCAAATTAAATAATGACATTAATTTAAGTTCTTCAAAAAAAGAAAAATATCCTACTTCAAACAATTTTTCTACAAATGCTATAGTAAATAACAAAAATGATAATTTTTATTCACAAAAAATTAATGCTTTTGATACAACAAAAAATATATACGATGATATTAAAAAAACACCAAAAATTAGTGATAGTAATATGAGTGGAATAAATGAAAACGATCAGAACAAATACAGAGGTATTGTTGAAAATAATGATGTTGTCAAGAGTTATGAAAATGAAGATCATAGGTCTAATGAAAGTTTTTTAGATACCTACTTTGATATAAATAATTATAAAAATAACATTTTAAGTAGCGATAATAATACTATATTAAGCAGTGATAAAAATAATTTATTAAAAAAAGATGATGACACCTTATTGGGTAACACAAATGATAATCTAGATAGAGATGTCGCAGATATTTATTTAGGAGGAGATTATAATAACTCATTAAAAAAAAATGACGATGAGAATAATACATTAAATGAGGATTCTGATATGTTATTAGATAGCACTGCTGAAAATTTCATTGAAGATCAAGTTCACAATTATTTAAGTAATGACCAATTTAATTTATTAAAAAAAAATGATGATACAATATTAAATAGCACTATTGGTGACCTAAATAGAGATACTTTAGATATTCATTTAAGGGGTGGTAATAATAATTTATTAAAAAAAAATGATGATGAAGATGATGCATTAAATGGGAATTTTGATAGATCATTAGATAATATAGATAACAATTTGACTATAAATCTCGTTGATAATTCTTTAAGTAATGATAAAAACAACTTGTTAAAAAAAGATGACGATACCATATCAGATAACGTAATTGATGATCTGGATAGAGATACTGTAGACAATTCTTTGAGAAGTTATGATAATATCAAATTAAAAATAAATGATGGTGAAGATAACACATTAAATGAAGATTCTGATGGATTATTAGATAATATAGATAATAATTTGACTAGCGATGTTGTTGATAATTCTTTAATAAAAGATGATAATGATATATTAAAGAAAAATGATGACATTGATATTGCATTAAATGAAGATTCTGGTGGATTATTAGACAACATAATTAATGATTTGACTAACGATATTGTTGATATTTCTTTAAGAGAAGATGATAATGATACATTAAATGAAGATTCTGATGGATTATTAGATAATATAGATAATGATTTGGCTAGCGATGTTGTTGATAATTCTTTAAGAGAAGATGATAATGATACATTAAATGAAGATTCTGATGGATTAATAGACAACATAATTAATGATTTGACTAACGATGTTGTTGATAATTCTTTAAGAGAAGATGATAATGATACATTAAGTGAAGATTCTGATGGATTATTAGACAACATAATTAATGATTTGGCTAGCGATGTTGTTGATAATTCTTTAATAGGACCTGATAATGGCGCATTAAAAAAAAATGATGACACTAATATTGCAATAAATGAAGATTCTAATGAATTATTAGATAACATAGTTGATGATTTAACTAGAGATGTCGTTGATAATTCTTTAATAGGTGACAGTAAAGATGAATTAAAGAGAAATGATGATAAAGATAATACATTAAATGAAGATTCTCATGAATTATTAGATAACACAGTTGATAATTTAACTAGCGATATCGTTGATAATTCTTTAAGTAATGATACTAACATGTTTGACAATATTGATGATAACTTTGTCAATGATACTGTTGATGACTCATTAGACCATGATGATGATGATATATTAAAAAAATCCAATAATACCGTATTGCATAACATTATTGATAATCTGGATAAGGATACTATCAGTACTTCTTTAAGAAGTGATGATAATAACTTACTAAAAAAAAATGGTGAAGAAAATTTATTAATAAATGTTGGTGATAGCACATTAAATAATGAACATGATTTATTATACAATGACCCTGATAATTTATTAAATAGTGATCATAAAAATTTATTAAATGAAAGTGATAAAAATGTATTAAGTAATGATGAATATAACCCAATAAGCAACGAAGATAAATTATTAAGAAATGATTATGATATTATCCTAAATAACGATATAAATAATACATCAAACAAAAGTTATAATATTGATAATAGTAATTATGTTTATGCTTCTAGTGAAAGGTATGATAACACTTTAAATCTTAAAAATAAAAGATCTACTGATTATTCTGATGGATTTATTCCATTAGATGGAAATTCTTTTAATTCAAATAATAATGAAGAATTATATGCTATAAAAAAAGATATAAGTAATAATAACACCAACATAATCCTTTTAAATGAAGATGGTATAAATATTCCCGTGGAAACTTTAAATAATTGTAAAATAATAAAAATAAAAAATATATCTAATCCTAATATAAATATTAATAATACATATTTATTAAATGACAAAAATTATGATATTAGTCGAAAACATAAAAAAAAAATAAGAATTTTATTATTAAAACAGAATAATAATAATAATACTGTCAATGAGAAAGAATATCAAAAATTAAAAAAAAAAACTGATTTAAATGATTTAAAAGAAAAGATAAATGATACGTTTAATCATATGAAAGATAAACAAAAAGGATATTGTGAATATATTATATTTAATAATGATGAAAAGGATTTTACTAATGAAAAGGATTTTTTGAGAGAACTTAAAAAAGTTTCACAAGTATCAATTTCAGAAGAATTACCAAAGGAATTCAAGCATTTAAAAAAGACGAAGATTTTAAATTTTCCAAAACCCTTTGGACAAAACAAGGAAAAAATAAGTTACCTAGAAACTAGCATAGTAAATGATAATAAGAATAATGGAGAAAATTATGATAATGAAAGTAATAATGTTCCAAATAATAATTTAGATGAAAATTTTGATGAAGATTCAGATGAAAACGAAATTGATACAGAAAATAACAATTTTAATGAAATTAACTTAGTCAATGAAAAAATGAAAGAAGATAAAAATTTAGATAGTTTTAGTGATGAAAATGTTGAAAACATATCGAATAGTGAACATCCTCTGATTAGGAAAAAGAAGAATATAATAAAAAATTCTCGTAAAGTATACAATTTAAATTTATACAATTGTTCATTCATAGATGATTGGGATTTTAACCATGAATACATTGATGAGGAAGGTAAATTGGTTAAGTTAAGTGGATATATTTTTCAAAATATTGTGAATTCAGATTCTATGCCTACTACAAATATTACTGACTGGAAGTTAAAAGGTTCATGTGATTATGATAAATATATATGTGGTGCTTTAAATTATATGAATAATTTATACAGTAAAGGAGAAAGAGTTATATTTGAAGGGAAAATATATGAAGCTACAAGTGATGCTTATGAATCTCCTAAAGATAAGGAAAACATTTGGATAGACAAAACAAGTGATTGCTATAATTTTTAAATAAGAAAAATAAGAAATTATGTACAGAGGCTTAAAAAGAATTTAATTAATTATGTATAGAAGATATATTACTTTTTATTATGAATAAACAAAAATATTTTTTTCTATTATAGTTCTCTTTTTTGAATGATCTTATTACATTTTTATAGTTTTTGTTTTGCTTCCATGTAAGTAAATTTTAAATGATTTTTTTAAATATATATATATATATATATATACTATTCTTAATATAAATAAACTTCGATTACCCTGACTTCAAATATTCCCTTTTTTTTTTTTTTTTTTTTTTTTTTTTCTTATTGTTTGTTAATATATGTATTTATTAGACTATAATTAACTAAAATACATATATACATTTTTTTATTTTAAAAAAAGCACTACATACTTAATAGTCTTAGAATTTTTTTAAAAATATTTTTTTCATATCTTACATTAAATGATAGTGTAAATAGATAAATGCTTGCTAATTTTTATGGAATACTAATTAATTATTGAGTTCTTACTATTATTAATTTACCTTGTTCTTATTTTTTTTATGTTATTTATTGGTAAAAATTATACGGTAATTTAGTGAAATTTCATTTCCTTTAATGCTTATAAGTATTTTATAATATATTTTTTTACATAGCTTATATTTTTAATTACATTACTTAAATAGAAAACATGATAATAATAATAGTATTGATGAAGTTCTTCAACTAGAGCATAAACTTTCTGAAAATCTATACATAGCACAATAAAATTTTATATACTTTTAATATTTTGTAATTATAAAATATTTATAACTTTCGTGCATATATTAATTTTCGTAATATTTAACCCATAAATATACCTTGCTTTTTTCATTTCTCTTTTATTTTTTTTTCTTTTTCACTTTATTTTAATAATACATATAAAAAAAAATTCAATACACATATAATAAAAAAAAGGTTCAACAAAATAAAAATAAGGAATATGCTAAAAAATTATAATTTTATATTCATTTATTTATAATTATATGCAAAAGTAAATATACTTATTGTTGGAATTGTTAAAAAAACAATAATTAATTTAATAGGAAAAAAAAAAAAATAAAATAAATAATAAAATAATAAATAAGCAATGCTATTAATAACAGATGAAAACAATAATAAAAAGCATTTATATAACAAAAATGATAAAGAAAATTATTTTTTAGAAGTTATATATACATATTTAAGAAGAAAAAAACATATTACACAAATTTATATAAAAATATGAAAAGTTATGTTTTATTACTATTCATTGAAAAAATATCTAAGAATAATGGATCTTTTTTTACTTCATCATATGATCCTATTGATTTTATTTCTCCATTATCAACAATAATAATTTTATCCATTTCTTTTAAAAGTTGTATTGAATGAGTAATATAAATTATGGTTTTATTCGGTATTAACGTATTAATAAGTGTGTATACTTTTTCCGTATTTGATTCATCTAAAAATGATGTAATTTCATCAAAAACATATATGGGTGTGTCTTTCATTAATGAACGAATAATTGAAATTCTTTGTTTTTGACCAGAAGACATTGAATTATGACGAATTTCTGTATGAAAATTTTGAGGAAGTGTGTTAATAAAATTAATTAAATCTAATTCCTCACATAATACATTGACTGATGAATTTATTGTATTTAATTTATTTTTGTAATCCTTTAAAAATGTATAATTATTGATATTATAATCTGTATCAACTGTATTGTTTACGATTATTTTATTGGTGTTACAGCTATTTTTATTTTTACAGTGAATATTTTTAACTATGTCTTGTACTTTTTCATTAATAAATTCTTTTTCTTTTTCACTGAAAAAATTTTTTTCTTCTATAGATGATTTTAAATAAGAATTAAATTTTTCTCGAAGATACTCATAATTAGATTCATTTAAATCACAATTTTGTAGAATTAAAGAAATTTTATTTTTATCTGTTAAAGTATCTAAAGATTTATTAGTCTCTTTTTTATCTTCCATGGAATTCGTAAGAATTTTTTCGTATAGAGATTTACTGGAATCAATATTCTCAAAAATTATTTTGAAAGTTTTCTTTTCGTCTTGTATTTTTACAGGTAGTAATCCATAAATTAAATTTTCATATAAAGATCTATTCAAAATACTGCATTCTTGTTCACTAATTGACAAAACGTTTTTTTTAAAATAAGTTTCGTTTATATCTTTTATATTATAATTGTCTATATAAATATTCCCTTCGTATTCATATTCTCTAGTTAATAATTTCCACAATGTAGATTTCCCTGATCCACTCTTTCCTATTATCGCAACCTTTTCATTTTCATTAATTTCAAAATTTATATTTTTTAAAACCTCCTTTTTATTTTCGTCAAAATTATTGTATGAAAAACTAACATTTTCATACTTTATAGAACCTTTAATATTTTCTGGAAATATATTTTTATTAAAATTACAATTATAAGATTTTTTCTGTCCATTATTGTAATCATCATTAATGCTTTCTATTTTAAAATTTTTTTTATCATCTTTTTCATTTTTATTATGTATATTTTTATCGTTTAATAAAATTTTATCATTAGGATTATTTGCTTTGTAAGATTTAGAAAAATCCAATATTTCATAAATTTTCTTCAAACTTAAGTGAAGAATGTTAAGATCTTTTTTTAACTTAAGTAATCCAACAATACCCAAACCTAACATGCTACTATATGCAATAAATGAAACTAATTGACCATGAGTGATATTATTATTTTTCAGTTCCATTCTACCAAAACACAATATGGAGCATATAACAACATTACTACCAATATTTAAAAATGAATAAAACGTAGCTTCACAATTTAAATACTTTTGATGCAATTTATCAACAGCTTTTAGTTTCTTAGAAAAGTATTCTTTTTCATAATATTCGTTTCCAAATATAGAAACTATATTTTTTTTTTGTAAAATATCTGAAAAACGAGCCATTTGTTTTTCATCAAAATTATCAGTTTGAATTCTAATATTTTTTAATTTTTTTAAAATCATTAGCACAAAAAAACCATATGCAGGAACTATGAATATACAAAGTTTTGTTAAATATGAAGAAATTAAGACCATTGAAATCATACCTCCAATAATAGAATTAACATATCGTAACATTTGAGTAATAGATGTGACTAATTCTTTTGAGGCAAATTTTATTTCATTAAATGCACAGTTAACTAAATAGTCGGAAGATTTATATTTTTTAAATTCTTCATCATTTTCACTAATGATTTTGTTATGAACTTCTTTCTTTAATCTATATTCTACATTTTTGATACATTTACTTGTAAAATATATCCTAAAATAAGATGCCAACCCTCCACATGCAAAATAAGGAATATAATAAATTAAAGCATTCATGTTGTTATTTGTTTTTACTTGAAATTTTTTTAAAAAAATTGTTTTTTGAAGCATATTATTTAGAAAGTTATATTTCATAAATTTCGTGTTATCTGATTCAATACATTCTCCCATAATTTTTGGATAACTTAGGTTAGTATAAGCATTTATTGCTAAAAATATTAAGGCCATTGATAATAACGTTATTTCATATTTATTCATGTCACATATTGCTCTGAATATGTAATTTTTATTTTTATTTTTAATTTTCACATTTTTATTACTATCATTTTCAAATTTATCATTTAATTTATCTCCTCTTTTAAAGAAATTCTTAATACTATTTAACAAAGAATTGATCAAGGAATTTTTAACTTCCTTAATCTTACAAAGTACATTACCCATAATAAATTAATATATATACATATATATATTACAACAAAATAAAATAAAAAAAGCTTTAATAAAAAAAAAAAAATAAAAATTAATTATAAGATAAATTAATATATATATTAGTATATAAAATAAATAAAACAATAATTATTTAATAAAAATTAATTCAAGATATAAATTAAAAAAATATAAAAATTATTTAACAAATAATAATAACTAGACAAAGAAAAAAAAAATTAAAATTAATCACATATTTTTGAAAAATAAAAAGTTATAAACCACATTGTTTAAAGTATTTTTTCTCCTTATTTATTTGATATATATATAATTTTATATTTATATAAAATAATATATTTAAAAATAACTTAATTAAAAAAAATGTAAAAAATAATCATTTAATAAACAAACACAAGAAATAATAAAATGAAAACATATATATTATATATTTGAATTAAAAATTCTCTTTTTTCAGTTCACTTTTTTTCAATTTTTTTTTTTTTTTTTTTTTTTTTTTTGTTATATTTTTATAATACATTAGTGAAGTTTAAAATATCATTCTTCAACTGGGTATATATATATATTTTTTTTTTATTATATTTTTAAATAAATTAAATTCTTAACATAAATTTTAAAAAAAGGAGTATAATTATTAAAAGGAGTAATGTTTATGTAATCTCATAAAATGTGTATTTAAAATATTATATTTCTAAAATACTTAATATGTCAAATATTCAATCAACAAAAAGAATAATTTTATTTTTTTTTTCTTTTTATTTTAAAATTCATAGAACAATATATCTACCATATATCATAAATATTTCTATTTTAAATAACTTATTTTTAGAAAAAAATTATTTCAAAAAAAGAAATAAAATAAAAAGGATATAAAATAACAATAATGAATTTATAAATATTTCCATTATTTTTTTTTTAAAAATTTTATTATAACAATATTATTATATTTTTAAAATACATTTTGTACATTTATCTATTTTATCTTCCAATAACACATTTTGGAAATTAGAGAATTTCATATAAAAGAATAAAAAATTATATTAAAATAATAAAATATTAAGAAGTAATAAAAAAGGAAAAAAATATATATATATTTAATAAAATATTTCCCCTGAAAAGAAGGAAAATAGAAAAAAATATTTATGTAATATTTTAATTAATAAAAAAAGAAGTAATTAAAATGAGCGATAAAGAAGCAAAAAAAGAAGCCATTGAAATAATTTATGAAATTTCTAACATATTAAATGTAAACTTGGATAAAGAAACCATAGTCATATTAATACAATTGTGTGAATATGGGGTTAGTCCCAAAATTCTTTCTCATATTATTATTCAATTAAAAAAAGAAAAGGAAAAATTTCTTCAAAATTTAAATAACAACATGAGTAGTTTAAAATAAGAAAACATTTAGCATACATAATAAAAATAGGAAGTGTATTATAATATGATATCTATTTTTTTTTTTTTTAAGTATATTTAAAATGTTTCCATAGAATGAATATAAATAAAGACTTTTTAATTGCCATTAAAAAGAAAAACAGAAAAAATATGATTCCAAAGAAAAATTTATATTTAAGAAATATGGAGATACTTATTTTTTTTTGAAAAAGGTTTCATGATTTTTTCAAAATTTTACTTAAATTTTTAATATTATTTATTTATTTTTTTTTTTTTTTTTTTCTTTTTAGTTAATATATATTATATTTTTTTTACATAAGCTTTTTAACCAAAATTCATAGTATTCCTTTTTTTTTTACTTTGATTTGCTTAAAATTATTAAAAATTAAAAAACTTTAAAAATAATAAAAGAAATAAACACCTTAAAAAAAAAAAATATTATTAAAAAAGAAAAAGTGTATATAATCAAGATGTATGCAATTATTTACTTATTTTTTCAAATTATATTTCTAAGAAACACGAAAAAAAAATAAAAAAATATAAATTAGAAAAAATTGATACTTTTGTATTATTTTTTCATATATATCACAAAAATATGTAATTCTTAATATAAAAATAAAATTAAAAATGTGCACGCATACATTTTTTTTTTTTTTTTTTTTTTTTTTTTTGCGTCTAAATGTGTAATAAAAAATATTGCAACGAATTCTTGTATATTTAAAAAACTAAAAAAGAAAAAAGTCTCTTTTTAATTTTATAATTTATTTAATAAAAGGAATTATTTCGCATTGATTATTAGTGCAAAATGAAAAAAATTTCTTAAAAAAATAAAAATAATTGTATTAAATTAAGAAAAAGAAATATATCAAAATAAAAAAAGAAAAAAGAAATAAAATTTTAATTACATTAAAAAAATGTAACTTTAAATTGTCTTAGTTTATGAATAAGCAAACATTTATACGTATGTATAATGTATCTAGATTTTTTTTCTTGTCCTTATAAAAAATATTTTTCTTTATATATTCCTGTTCTTTTTAACTTTTTATATGTCCGATTAATCAAATATATTTTTTTTTTTATTTCTGTTTAATATTTTAATGTGATATTATTTTTATTATTTTTTTTTCTTTGTAATACAACTAATTTTTGCGAAAAAGTACATTTAAATTTTTTCTTTTTTTTCATATTTATTATATTTAAATTTCATGTAATTTTTTTCTTTTTATATATATAAATACACATATTATCATTAGTCACTATTTAAAATTTATATTTTTTTTTGTTTTTTACTAAAATGAGACAAAAAAGATGGAAAACTACGAGTCTCCCTCAGAAGTTTTAAAAAAAAAAGAAAAAGAAAAAAGTGCAAAATTAAAATTTATTGACATTTTTAATGAAAATAATGAAACAGATAAAAACGAAAAAAATATTATTAATTTGGTTGAAAATAAAAAAAATAAAAAAAAAAATAAAACAAAAAACAAAAATGAACATTTGTCTCTTTTTGACGAAGCTTATAATATAAGTTTGAGTAATTTTTTAAACTCAAACTTTGCTAATATTCACTCAAATATAGATAAGAGTGATCATACTATGAACGAAAATTATAAAAATTTGAATTTATATAATGGATATACATATGATAATTACAATATTGGATATATGGTTAGTGAAATTTATAGATTAAAAGCAGATTTAGAAGCTTCTATTCAAAAGGAAAATAAAAAAAATGAGGAAAATAAAATTTTAGAAGAGAAGAATTCCATTTTAAGTGGAAGTATTGATAACATGAAAAACGAAATAGAAAAGTTGAAAAATATATATGATGAAGAAATTGATAGAATAAAAGAATCGTATGATAGGAGAATGAATATTTTAAAAAATGAAATGGATGAAAAAGAAAATTATTTCAAGAAAAAAATAGATAAATATGAAAAGGAATCAAATATGCAATTGAATGATTATGAAAATAAATATTATAATGAAAAAAAAAAAAATGATGAAAAGGATTCATTAATAGAAAATTTAATAAAAGAAAAAGAAGAGGTTACAAAAAAAAACAAAACTAATATAGATTTATACGAAAAGAAAATAGAAGAATTGGATAGCAATATAAAGAAATTATCAAGTATGTTAAATAAAGAGCAAGAAGAGAAAAAAAAATTATTAACAACTATTGAAAAATATGAAAAAGAAAAGATAAATTCTAATAATGTTATTAATCAAAAAAACGATACAATTAAAAACATGGTAAATGATATTTTATTAGTAAAAAATGTATACGAAGAATTAGTAAAAGAAAAAGAATTAAATGATTTAAGTAAAAAAAAACTTGCTAAAAGAGTAGAAGAAAACGAAAAAGATTTATTATATTTAAAAAATAGCATTGAAGGATACAGAGTAAATAATGAAAAATTACGAAAATATAATGAAATTTTAAATGAAGATATTAGAAAAAAGGAAAAATTAATCAATACCTTACAAAATGAAAATAGCTTTTTAAAAAAAGAAAATATGGTATTTAATAAAAATTTTTTAAGTATAAAAAAATCCAAGAATAGCAAAGTAAAAAATTATTCTAGTGATTCAACAGATGTTCAAGGAAAAGATGAACAGACAAATGGTGACTATGAAGATGAAGATGAAGAAGAAGAAAACCAAAAAGATGAACATGAAAATGGATATGAAATAAGAGAATACAAAGAAGGAAAAGAAAATCAGGATAATCAGGAAGACGAAGATGAAGATAAGGATAGGTATAATGAAGAAGATGACGATGATGAAGAAAATGAGACTGATGAAGAAATAAAGGAAAGCAATGAATTATCTGAAGGGATTAAATATGTAAATAAAAAGAGAGGAAAAAAAAAAAAAATATTACAAAAAAAAAAAGAAATGTTAAAAAAGAAAAAAATATATCCAAGAAAGAAAAATAATGATAATAATATATGTTCTATTAAAGAGAATATGTATTCTAATAATTGTAAAATAAATGCTTGTGAAAAAAATGGAAGTAAAGGAAAATGTTTAGTAAAAGATGAAAATTGCATTACTAACATTGAAAAAAGAAATAATGGTAATTATTTAAGTAATAAAAATGATAATTATTGCAACAGTTATTCAACTAATTTTAATTGTCATAATAATCAGATTGAAAATGATGCTATAGAAAATAAAGAAATCACATTTTCTAATGTAAAAAGTAATTTAATTAATTTGAATAATTTAAATTACCATTTACTAAGAAAGTCACCAAGCTTAAATTTTTATTCAAACATAATAGAAAGTAATAGATTAGGAGAAAAAAAAAAAAAAAAAAATTATTATTGTGATTTAAATAATAGTATTATATCTAACAAAGAATTAAGTAGTAATAAATATTTATATGATTTAAATCTATATAACTTAAGAAAGTGTAAAGTTTTTAGTTTTAGTAATAATCTATCACAAGAAAAAAAATTTTATAGTAACAACACCCTTGATAATAATAAAAACATTTTAGGAAATATAAATCATTCCAAATTAAAAAATAAAATTAATAAAAATTATAATAATGAGAAGGAAATTATTCTTCATAATTTGAAAAAAATTACTTCAAGTAGTTCTGCTAATGAAGAAACAGATAAGGAAAAAGATATTACAAATATACATGAATATTATATAAATGAAGATATTGATAAGAACAAAACTATTGAATTTTTTCTTTCAAATATAAAAAATGAAAAATTGAATTCTAATAATATTATAAAAAAAAAAGAAAGTTTAAAGAAATTAATAAGTGAAAAAAATTTTTCCAGTAACAGTTTAACAAGGAAAGATAATATTAATGAACTATTAAATGATAATTTTTTATATAGTAACAGTTTGATAAAAAGTAAAGAAAACATAAATAAATTGTTCAATGAAAATTCCATTCCTAATAATTATATTATTGAGAGTAGTTATAATAATTTTTTTAAACACAACAAACTTAAAAACTCCAATAATCAAAACGATATAAGATCATATATATTGAATAAATATAAAAACAAAAGTAATATATATGGTTTGTTTATTATAAATGAAAGACTAAAAAATATTTATAAAAATATTGAGAATAAAAGGAAATCAATAAGCAATTTTCCAGTAGATTTATCTAAAATAGAAAGTGTAAAAAATTTAAGTAATTCTTTTAATATTTTAGAAGGAGAATATTCACGTATTAATGAAAATGAAGATTCACTCATATCACCTTCAAGAAAAAGCAAGAGAGAACAATTTTCTGATTTACATGAAGAAAATGAAAATAATAAAATCAACTTATTAAATAAATGCACAATCATTAATGACTTAGAAAAAAAAAAGAATGATTCTAATAGTTTATTTATTTTAGAAAATAATAAAAATCTCATTAAAAATGATAATTTGATATTATCAAATATGGAACTATTAAAATTCAACAACAATAATAGTTACTGTAAAACTCCTCTTATTTCATTTGAAAATAATAAATCTAATGAAAATACAAACAATAACTATTTATTGAAAAATGAAAGGATATTATCAAAAAATGAAAATATATATGGAAGTAATAATTCTTCTTTTTTCTTCAATAATATGAAATTAGAAAATGAGGAGATTATTTCAAAAATAAAATGCAATGTAGAATACAAGAAAAGTGAAAAAGATGATAAAATTAGAAATATAGGATATAAAGAGAGTAATGATGCAACAAAAGAAAATATCAATAAGGATATTTACAAAAATGACAGTTGTAAACAAGAAAATAATGAAAATAATGAAATTAAAGAAGATGAAAAATTTGGCACAGAAGAGGATGAAACACTATATAATGAACATAACGAAAAATACAAAGTTGCAGAAGAAGAAGAAGAACAAGAAGAAAGTAAAAACCTATTAAGCAAGGAGAACAGAAATAATAAAAAAAATAGAGATAATAATGAGCTTGAAGAGAAAGAAAAAATATACAAAAATTATTTATATAAGATAAAAATGAAAAATATAAATAGAAATGAAGAAATGAACTCAAATGAAAATATAGATAAGGAAAAAAATAATGTCTTGAATTCAAGTGATATATTTAATACGAATTTTGACAATTTTTTGTTATCATATAAATCTAAAAAAAAAGAGTTGCAAGATTCATCAATTAAAAACAAGATATTTGATTTTTTAAAAAAAAAAAATAAGCAGATTGATCAGCACTATGAAAATGATGATAGTAACGACAAAGAAAACTCTTATTTTGAAAATTATTATAGAAAATTAAAACTTTTAAGAAATAAAAATACAGTGGAAAGAGATAGTTTAATAAATAAAGAAAATTATTTTAATGATAATTTATCTCACAATAATATTTTTCAAAGTGAAAATATACATATGAAGAAAACTTTTAATTCTAGTGATATCTTGAATATGATAAATAAAAATAATGAAAGTGAAGAATTTCTTTTTAATAGTAATTTTATAGTTAATAATCAGAAAAATAAAAGTAATTTAGAATATCATAAAATCGTAAAAGATGAAAATGATAGTGAAAGTTATATTAAGTTAATAAATGATCAAAAAGAAAATATTATTAAAACAAAAATAGAAAAGAATGATAGCATAAATTTTATTAATATAAACAATAATTTAACTAGTAAAAATGAAGAAACTTTTAAATCTCCAAAAGATTGCAGTAGGTTTTCAAATAGTAATAATTCAAATAACAGTAAAGGTGTTGATTTAAATATTTTATATTCTCACACTTAATATATTACAAACAAATATCAAAAAGAAACATATATAATTAAATATATATGTTATTAAGATTTCTATATATATTTATTATTATATTTATTTTTTTTATTTATATTTTTAAGTATGTACTGTCTTAAAATTGTAAAGAAAAAATATATTTTTAACATTTCTGTTTTCAAGTTTTTTCTTTATAAAAGCAATTAATAGATAATTTCTCAACACTATATATATAAATTGAAAATATGTTATTATATATATGTAATTTGAATTATATATATATAGTAATTATATATTCTTTTTTTTTTTTTTTTTTTTTTTTTTACAAACATATTTTTATCCTTTACAAAGTTAACTTTTTTTCATTCTCTTTTTTTCGTATTTTGCTTTTATATTCATTGCATTAAAAAAAAAAATTATGTATTTTTTTGTCCTTTTTCTCATTTTTTTTTTTTTTTTTTTTTTTTTTTTTTTTTTTTTTTTTTTTTGTAAGTCGTTACATTTTTTAAAAAGTGTTGCATACTTTTTTTTTTTTTCTTATTTGTCAAATTTCAATTAAAAAAAATACTAAAGAAAAAAATCATCTTTAATAATTTGTGAAAACAACAACGGAACTAAAGCTGAAAAAAAAAGAAATACATTAAAAATTTTCAATTATTAGCATATTTATTAATTTTATTTTATTTTATTTTTTTTTTGCATATTTTTTGTTATATTTTTCTTTCTACATACCATATTTACATTTATAAATAGAAAAAGAAAATGATAAGGAATTTAATATATTAAATAAAAAGGATATTAGAAGAAATAAATTTGTATCTTTATGAATGTCTAAATTGTTGATCACTGATTTTTCAATTAAAAATAATGAATTTATTATACAATTCGTGTAAATGCTTTTATATATATCTTTAAATGCCGTAATATAAGTTTTTAAATTATATTCTTTTGCATTAATATTATGAAGAATAAATGAGAAAAAAAAGGTATAAAGGATTGTATTTTCAAAATATTTTAAATAAATTTTATTCATAATATTATTGGAATTTTTTTCTTTAACTAAATCATTTTCATTTATTAATAGAGGAGCATTAATTTTATTAAGATAATTTTGAAACTTCCTTAATGATTCTTGCTTGTAATAATTTTCATTGTTTTTTTTAATTGAGTAATAAAATTTCAATATTGATTGTTCATTTATTTTATTATTATTCTTACTTGAAATTAAAAATTTTATTATAGAATTGTTATAATTTTCTGTCACCTTATTCAATTGATTATTATTCTGTGTATATATTTTAATTAACTCATTTTCTTTTTCATATATTTCATAAATATTTTTTTCATTTTTAAAAATTAATAGAAGCAAGTATGATATAATTTCTTCCTTATTTTTTAGATTATAGAATAAATTTTTATTATATACTAATTGTTGTATTTGATCATATGTAAAAAATAATTCATCAGAATATTTTATATAATAGAATAAGATACATGAATAAATTTTTTTTTTTGTATATTCTAAATATTCATTTTTTAATTTCTCAAAAATATATGTTAATAAATCGAATTCCTTTTTTTTCTTTTCTATTTCAATAAAAGTATTTTTATTTTTACATAGATTTTCTAATAAACCTAATAGCGAATTTTCTTTAAATGAGTAACTTTCATTTTGTAATTGGGTAGTCAATTTCTTATAAAAATTATTTTTTAAATATACATGGAAATTATTAATACCAATTGAACTAATAAATTCACTTAAAATAAAATGATCAACAACTGTTATATCGTTAAAATGAAAATAATCTTTATTTTTTTTTGAATAGAAGTTTTGGAATGTATAAAAAAATATAGCTAAATTTGTCAAACCAACGGCAAAAAATATATTTTTAAAACTCTTTTCTTTCTTTTTTTTATTTATAGTTTTAATAAATTCATAATCAACATTTTTATTTATTAATGTTTTCATATCATTCTTAAATACACAAAAAAAAAAGTTACTTCTTTTTACTAATCTATTCATACTTCTAACATTATATTCTCAAAATATTTTTATTTATTCCATTTATATATGTATATCATATATAAAGAAAGAAAAAATATTATGTCAAATAGATATATATATATATATATATATATAACAATTATTATACATTTCAAAGAAATGAAAATTTTAACAAAGTTTCTCAAATTATTTATTTTTTAATTTTTTTTTTTTTTTTTTTTTTATTCTTTTATTAATCTAAATATTGATGTCAAAGAGATAAACAAAAAAAAAAAAAAAAA